AGTTGTATGCCATCTGGAGAGTACAACATTGTGAAAGGCTGGCAAAGCTAGAGGATTTTGCTCCCTGGGATCATTGAAGAATATAAGGATGATATTGTTCTTGAAAAATCTACCCTGAGTCAGATGGAATATTAAGTGGCATAAGCTGGGTGGGTCAAATGAATGCATTAGAAGGCAGTACCATTTGCAGTAGGGTGGAGGAAGCAGCCTCGAACAATTAAACAAAAAGTAGACATTCCAGAAATTTTCCAATTGTAAAAATAATTTCCTGTGTCACAAATTAAAAGCCCTGGTGAATTACACACAGAGAGGCAAGCTAATGCCCCTGGCAGCAAGTGCCCCCATTCCAGGTTACAGCTGTCTCTCTAGGAAGCAGTTCCATGAGGAGCACATGAAGTAAACTTTGCTCAGCCTTGCCCAATACGGTGCCCTTCAGATGCATTAGACAGCAACTCCCATCATTCCCAGTCAGCTGGACACAATGGGAATTGCAACCGACCATCCAGAAGGTCCCAGGTTGGGCAAGGATGTGTTGTGAGACTTCTTTTGAGGACTAGCGAGTTTCTCTTGAGGGAAGAGTATGATCTGGTGACAAGCATATGTCTGGTGACTAGCGGGCAGATGCCTGTGCCTTTGGGAAACAGCTGTTGAGAAATGGATGGGGCTGAAGGCGCAAACAACAGGGGCATGATTGACTGTAAACAGGGCTACTTGGTGCCCTCCCTGACAGATCACGGAAAACTGATGGGGGCGCGGGTATGAGGAAGGGGAGCTCCCGCTTGCTCAAAATGGAGTCAACTGGGGCAGGGGGCTGCAGCTGGACACTAGTCAAGTTGCGGGCGTTGAGGAGGAGAGTACGTGGGAATGCGGGATGGCAAGTGTGACTTGGGAGGGGAAAATCTGGGGAAGGTCAGCTCAGTGGTTGGGACCCCCAGGTCGCGGGGCTGGCTGGAGAGATGCAAGCTACTACCTCTCATCTGAAAGAACATGGGAACTCCGCGTGTCCTGGTCACGGAAAGAAGAGTTCGGAGAAAGCAGAGGAAGGATTCGCAAAGGAGAGGGGCGATTCTAACTGGGTGTGTTGGGGGGGGAGTCACGTTTCCACCCGGAGCTATTTGTGAAATGCTCCGTGCCCACCACCCCTCCACTCCGGAAGTGTAGCCCCCCTCTCTTCTACTTGGATGTGAGCAGCGGGGGAGGAGATTGCCCAGTCCCAGTGCACTGGGCACCCCTCACCTCCAACCCCCCTTCCCAACTCACCCGCCAGGCAGCCCGCGGGAGTTCCATTGTTGCTGCCATGCTGGTGATGGTGCTTCTGTCTAATGGTGCCGGGCGGGGCCTGCGGGAGTCGCCGCACAAAGGTTCCGCCCCTGGCCCGCCTCCGACCGCGCCTCCCTTTGCCTTCTCGTCCACTTTTCCCTGGCAAAAAGGTTGTCGGTCCAGTGCCGGGACGCTGGAAATGCGGCCCTTGTTTGCAGTGTCACCTTTTGGAAGAAAGGAGTGCCGCTGAACATATGCAAAGAGTTTCACTCTGCTCCCGAGCAGTCTTAATTAACGCTGTGGGTTAGAGAATGTAAAGCTTTTGGGATCCTTTGGAGGCAATTGTTAATTTATTCCACCTATTCCCTATTCGGAATACGTTCAAAAATGGATTAAAACACAGCCCACCTCCTCTACACGTCAGAGAATGTAAGAACGGACGCTCTGTTGAATCAAAAGCCCACTTCGCTAACCCTCCTGTCTCAAACAGTGGACACCTTGAATGGAGAATGAAACATAAAGTGTTTATCATCCCTTGTAGGGGAGGCATATTTAAAGAGAGCAGATGAAGACAAAATCAGAAATATTTGCAATATAGATGGAAGACTAAAATGGGCAGGCAGCTGGGAAGGGTGTTTGGGAAGCCTGTATCAGATGCTGCCCAGTGTGCTCTTAAGTTGCTGTTGTTGTTGCACACATACCCACTTTAATCTATTTTGGCACCCATCTCTTCTACCAAGTTGGATGCGGGAGAGAGATCGCAGCCAATCACGCCCGCCTTCCGCGAACACGCCCAGTAGCGGAGCCAATGGCGAGGGCGGTCGTTGCACATACATCTTTGGAAAAGCACATGGGTTCACTCGCTCCCTATAGGCGCATGCAACGCTCACAGTAGCACATGGGCACATGGCCAAGAAGGGAGGAGAGGAAGCGCAGGCACGAACGCCCTCCACGTCAGCTGCCGTGTATTATTTATTCCGATTTCTAATCCTCCCCAAAGGTTAGGATATGGAGCAAAACGTACATGGGGGAAACATGCCCATCAAAGGCTCCCTTGAGTCAGTTTAGACAGGAAAACATTGACACGAGCCAAAACCCCAGAACTTCTAACTGGATTAAACAGTTATGAATAGGCACTTCAGAGAAAAAGGATCTTACAGTGTTTCCAGAAAATTAAAAGTCCCAGTGTGGGGAACCTGCTGGATTGTGCGGCAATGCCTGAATCTAGAGCTAAAATCTTGATGTGGATGCCAACTCAATGTTGGTGCATTAAAAATGTGATTTGGATGGTCCCAGTTTTAATTCTCTTGGTACAGCTGAGAACTCACTGACCTTTGAGAAGGTATTTTTGAGACTTAAATCTCTAATCTTCTCCAACTGTTAAAAAAATGGATACCTTTTCCCTACCATAACTTGTGGTCGTCCTTATAAAGTTCTGAGAATTTACAAAAGTCATACAGAAATACTGTGTTATTAGTTTATCTTGTCCTCGCTGCTTAGCCGTGTCCTTCAACAAACAGCAACAAGATTCCAGCCTCCTGGTAACAAGTAAAATTTGAGAGATTAAGAAAAAGGAAAAAGGCTGGTCTGAAAATGAATAAAAGGAAAGCTGAAGTACTTTGAACACACTGGAAATGCTTTATGGGCTCACCACTAATTTTATAATCAGTTATATTGGTGTCTTTTCTACATCCATATTAGTTCCTGTATTTTATTGTATAAAAATGGAAAAAGTAAATAAAGATGTTTTAAAAGTTCTGGATTGTGTGCAACTTGTTTGCTTGCAGAGGGTTCTCAAAGGTTGTTGTATGGTTGAGGCTGAAAGCGACCACACATCCTGAACTCCTGAATTTTTCAAGGTAAGAGTGGCAGGCATCCCTACAGCCAAAATTAGAACAAAATTCTCTGCATACTCACAAACCTTCTTAGCATTGGCTGAAAGAACAACCACAACCCATCGATTTGCAATTTGATAGGGAAGAGAGAGGTTGAGATTTATAATAAGGATTATCATATTTTTTCCCTGGCAAAACTGCTGCACATTGTAGCAGCCAGAAATTCAACAAACAAATGGAGCACCTTTTAGCAGCCACATATCCAACAGATGAAGTTTTTCTCTTCCCCTCCCTACAAGAAGCTCCAGTTTGGATGCAGGGAGGAAGTGGCTACCAGAAGTTTTACCATGCAGCTAGGTGATGAACAGTTAACAATCGATTGCTCCAGCAAATTGAGTAATTGGCTTCTAGTTACACCCTGAAAGAAGCACTTAAGGCAACAAATTGATTTCCTGCACAGACAGTTCATTACCATGGAGGCCACTAGTCGCTGAGATCCAAATAAACAATGATGCAGAGCTGCTTAAAGGGAAATGTCTTCTCTAGTATTGTGCTTAAAGCCAGGATCCACATGCATCTCTGGCCCTTTGAGTTCCCCAAACAGCCACACACCTTCCCTAGACCCACCCACTCTTCTCCAACAACCACTTGCTTCATGGCTTCCCAGTTTCCATGTAGTTTTTCCCCATTTTAAAAGGCTGAAAGATCTCTCCTAAGGGTTAGCAAGAGGCAGTAAGATCTATAACCTAAGACTAGTATGGACTACACCCATTTTTCTTTGGCCCTGTCCACCACTGGAATACTGGCCCCAAGGTCTTCTGACATTGATTTTGACCCTCCGTCTGGAAAGCTTCCCCATCCCAAGCTGCTTTCTGGTCCTTCAGTTTATTTACAGCCCATTCTTCTGCTTATTCAGAAATCATTCTCCAGGGACGTAGATATGGGTAGTCTTCTCCTTGGTCAGTTCTATAACGCAGCTACTTCAGGAAACAGCACTATTGATGTGAAAATGCCTGGACTCACACTGACATGCAGGTGCGGTCCCCGGGGAACAGCAACCAATCCGTGGTAAGCCTTTGAGTAAATGTCATGCAAACAAATGGAATGTCTTTCTTTTACAAGGCCTTAAAGGTGCAGAAGCCCTACCCTCTTTTGTATCTGACCCTTTTCATCCCAAGCAACCTGATCTGCGGACATTAGCAGGTGTCCTTTCTATTTTCCATGTTGCTACAGAAACTGTTAGTGTCTTATTTTTGCCTATCAAGTTGCTGTTAAAGGAAGGGGAGAAGCTCAGGCTTTCTCCCTTGCACTCCTGCAGTCAGTTGGCAGCCCTAATTTCTAAGCATGTACAAAGTGTGCCAACAAGAAGCAATGCTCTGCCCACCCGTCAACTTGAAAAGTGATGGGGTGAGACTGACCTGACCAAGGGAAAGGAGCCTAAGTGAGTTGCAAGGGAAAGAATAAACCACAGAATTTTGTCTCTGAGTGAGAGATCCAAAGATTTAGGGTTGATACTGATGCTAATTCGTTTCAAACTAGCATGCTGCAGCCCAGCACTCAAGCAGCTTATTCCAACTTTAGGTCCCCAGGTATTGTTAGAATACAACTTCCACCATTCTCAACCAATGCAGTCAATGTTCTGAGTTCATGGGAACTGTAGTCCAACTTCATCTGCAGACAAATCTCAGTTAGAGTGTCAGACTAAGTGCAAGGAGACCTTGATCTGTCTCTCTACTTAACTCCTGGACTAACATCATTCACAGGCGTGTTGTTAGGATAAACTGGAGAGAGGAACGTGCCAAGTAGGTTAACCTGAGCTCTTGGGAGAAACAGCAGGATTAAAATGATCATCATACTAATACTGAAAGAATTATTATTGGACAAAAGTATTAGTACGGAACAAGGCACAGTAAATGTAAGGCATCTTTCTTCTACAGATTGCATTCAGGATAGGAACTTTCATGGTCACTGATCAAAAGGTGGAAGTTAAACATTTCCTTTTAACCAACCTTAAAAAAATCAGCTTCAAGGTCTAGCTCACCTTGACCACAATCGTGTGAAAAACATTATGCGGTGTTATCAAGAGTTTAATTCCCAACTTTGGGGATTAGTTGCAGAACCTGTTTTTTTATGTCAGGGCCTGAAGACAACGGGACCACCCCTTTTTCTCCCTGATAAGGCTCCTTGTGCCTTTAGTTCCATGGCAGGCACCAAGTTGAGCTGGCGCAGCTTTTCCTTGCATGACACTGCAGACAAGCTTCGTTCTGCCTGCCCCCCAACAGTTACAGGAGGGCAAGCGAGCCTGCAGGGGCGAGAGGAAGAGTCCTCTTCCACACTGTGGCATGCCTGAATGCGTTAAATCTTTAAAGTATACAGGCTGCTTTCTTGTTTTGGCTGAAGCAGATGACTGCCGTTCCCCTGGGGGGTATGCCATCTTTGGGGAAGGATGACTGAGTGCATCAGCGCTGGAGTTCTAGCAGCTCTCCCCAGCCTCTCGCTCTTCTAGTCTTCAGGTCCAGAACTGGGACCTTGACGGCTCTTCTGCGCGTATCCAAGTTCAGCCCCAGCACTGAGCACAAGGTCGGTCCCAGTGCAGAAGGTGGCATCACCGGCGAGGTACAGAGCGGCTGCAGCACACTCTGCCGGGGTGCCCATCCGTCCCAGGAGCTATAAAGTAGTGAAGAAGAGAGGGGAGTGTTCTGCAGTCATCACATGGGCATACAGACAGCCGATTTTTTTTTCCACCCAATTGTCTCAGCTACTAGTAAAAAATGGGCACATGCTAATGTATATAAGGAAATGTAGAAATAATTTCTAGAATTTATTTAAATTTCACAGGAGGCACACCCAGACAATCAATTTCTCAACCAAATCGCTTGAAGTAAAATAGATACTCCAATGAATTTGGAACCAGCCCAGATCATCCCAAATCAGTAGGTTCTTCTTCAGTTGTGATTCATTTGCAATATCTTACTATCCCTTCTCCGGTTAGTCTCTTTCCATATCCCAATTCCTCTCTCTTTGCCCACAAGGAAAATTGTCCCCACCTTCAGCAATTAAGCTCAAAAAAGAAACCTTTTGTTAACACCAATAGAAACTTATTCCTAAACTTAATTGATACGGGAGAAGTGTAGCTATTCCAGTATGCAGGGAGAGTTAAGACTTCCTTTCCCACCCCAAGTAGGAAATCAGTCTCCTGTACAGAAAGAGTGAGCGAGCGAACTCTTCCATTGACATCAGTGGGCGCTCAGATTCTGGCTTCACAACAACCCTGCTGGTATGCAGTTGAAACCAATATTGTCCAAGAGTCCCCTGGCCATTTTCCCACAATGCACTTGCCTGAGCATTTTTGCCTTCCTGGATTGTTGCTTTTGGATTGGCTGTCTGGCTTGCAAGCTTCTCCCACATGGGTGTCCAGATATTGCCAGGTGAGATGCTGGAATTCAAATGATGGGGGATTTATTAAAGGTAGGGGCAGAAGGGGTATCGTGGAAGATCAGGTAAATCCATTTACACATGATGAATTGTCTTTCAAACTGAATGTGTTTTGAGGAAAGTTATCTACAGGTATAAACTCCCACAACTCAGACTTACATATGTTAACTGTTAGCTTCTTTAAAGACATGGCCGGGAGTTGAAGGACTTCTGCCGCCTAAACATGCATAGGATTGTACTCCAAGTGACTCACTTGCAGTACACTCTCATATAGGTTTGCTTGGAAGTAAGTCCCACCAATGATGCAAAATAATTGTGCAGCCCTGTGCCTGTTCCTGGAGAATTGTGGATCTGGCCCTGGTAATCCACACCTTGACTATGTTGCATCTGGCCAACTACATCGCACAACTACAGTCTTATCTAGCTTTAGGCATTTTGGGTGGGGGAGCCAGTGACTCTGAAGATGTTGCTGGACTCCAGCTCCCATAATGCCCAAGCACTGGCCATGCTGATGGGAACTGGATTCAAACAACATCTGAAGGGCCACCAGTTCCTGCTACTGCTTTAGGAAAAACTGACACCGTTTCAGTAGGGTTGAAATGTTTGAAACAATCCACTTTGTTGACTTCTAGTAACCAGTGAAAAAAGCTAGGCATTGATTGCTCTGCAAACTGACGCCACCAGTGAAGCTGTACTGATCACACGAACAATATTACCTGTTGACTCGGACACCGTATTGGCTCTCATCTATGGCCATAGCTTTTGTCATTGCTGTAAGAGCACCCTGCGGGTTGAAAACATGAATAGGGAGGGTTATCCGTCCACCAGCGAATTGACAGTACCCACAATGTCTCTTCTGCCTTTTACAGTGGCTTGATTTACAGGGAAAAGTACATAAAGCATTTCTCGGCATAGGAAAACAACATCAGTACTCGCTTACATCAGAGGATCAAACTGTTGTGCAAAGTAGCAGAGTCAATAAAAAGAATAATAATTGCAACTCTAATGACAGCTGATGGTTTTTGTTTCCCCTCCCTGGCAACTTTATTATGAATCTTGTACATCAGTGATGTGGAACCTCTTTCAGCCTGGGGGCTGAATTTCCTTCCAGAAGAGCTCTGGGGGCCAAATTCTAGTTGTGAGCAGGGCAAAAGCAAAAGGAGAAGCAAAGATGAAAGGGACAGAGCCAAAACTATCTGCACAGTTAAGTTTAAAGCTCTGACTCCTGGCAACTCAGTCTTAGGAGAAACACTTCAACCATTTAGAATGTATAGGGAGAAAAGCTAAGATGGCTGGTCAGGAGAAGGGGCTTGGGCGTCTGGAGAACCCCAGAGGGCGGCACTAGGACTCCAGACTTGACATTCTGCACCCCTGTTCAAAAAATTCCGAGATAGCAACCCCCTGGCTCACTTCACTCTCAGAAAGCTAATCTAAATCTGGAGTGAATTAGAAAAGAGAAGAGCCCCAAGTTACCCAAGGCGCCATTTTTTAAAAAAAAGCGACCTGCAGCAGGGATTTACAAGACAATTTAAGCCACAACTATTATTTAGTTTTCTTCAATGTATTGGGCTCAGCCACAGGTCATATGCCCACTCCCTGCCCCGCCCCCCCAAAAAACCCCCCTGGTATATGAATGACACTTTCCATGGCTTAGGAAAGTCTGTCAACTGATTAGGAGAAGAACAGTTGGTCTGCTCCTTTAGCAACAGCTTGATATGCAGCAATCAGAAGCGACTGTTCCCCACATGAGAACTACTAAAGGCACAAGAACAGAAGCTTGTAAAAAAGTTGGCAACCCCAGCTTTAGAACAAGATGGGGCTGGGGGTGGACACCCAATGCCAGATGTTGCTTGATACGCCAAATTATTACCTTGGTGGCAACGTATGTCACCGCATACTTTTGTCCAGTGATGCCGACGAGGCTGGAGATGTTGATAATGTTCCCTTTTGTTTTCCTGAGGTGAGTTAGTGCAAACTGTTAGCAAAGAAAGGAAGAAAAACTGTGAAGGTCTGTAAGGAGAACATACCAACATAAGTAGCTGACTTATATTAGAGCAGGTCTCTGTCCCATCCAACCCAGCAGTGTTGAACCTGAAACCCCAGAGGGCCAGATGAGGCCTGCTGGCATTCCCGGATGCCCACCTTGCAACCATTAGTAGCTCTCCAGTTTCACAGAATTTGGGGAGCCTCCCAGGTTAGTCCTAGACAGAGTAGACCCACTGATATGAATGAATGAATGAACTTAGCAAATTTTGTTATGGGCCTTTAGCATCCCCCAAACTATGGAATGAGACCCCCAAGAGCTTCTCTGAAATTTATTTCAGCCCATGGACTAAAAAAGGTTCCGCATCCTTGATCTGGCCCAAAATTTCTACTCCTTTTGACAGTCACATACCAAAGGTTTCCCCAGCCTTGCTAAGAGAGATGCTTTTAACAGAATAAGCTGGGAATTAAGCCGGGGATCCTTTGTACACAAAGCAGACGTGCCACTCCCCATACAGCCTCAGGGCAGGCTGGAGGAATGTTTGGCTTGCCCCTGCCACTCCCTGTGGGACAGCGATGGGGAACCTCTTCCAAAATGAGAACTGGATTTGGCTTCAGAGCAGCTCTCAGAGTGATAGCAAAAAGGGCTGGACCCAAAATATCAGCTCATTTTAACTTAAGGCTCTTAGGGCTGGTAGCAAAGCCGTTGGAGAGGTATTCTAAGCTCTTGGAAGCTGAAACACCACTGAACAATGTCTGAGTGGCCGTCAGGAGGCCACTCAAAGGGGAAGGAGGTAAAGCTGTCTGGGGAACCCCAGAAGGCCAGATTGGGAATTTGCTTGAACCTGGACAGAGGTTCAACAGCTCTGCTGCAGAAGATGCCACTGAACTGGATAGAACCGAGGCTTGACTAGGACGGAGCAGCTCTCTCTGTGCATCTTGGAATCACTCACCTTAGATGTTAAGAAACAGCTTACAAGATTGAGGTCTAAGAGGCTGCGGAACTCTTTTGCAGTCACATCATCTATCCTTTGCTCCGGAGGATCTGCTGACCAGGAGAGACAGACAGAAAGAGGATTTCACACAGGTCAGATCCAAACAGGCCAGATTCCTGCTCTACTGCTAATGTATTTTGCTGTGGCGGCTTGTTCTTTGTTTTATTTTCCTAAATCTATGCTTAATTTGATAGCCAAAACAAATAATACAAAATCAGAACAACAACGGCATCAAATAAAGCCAAGGTATAAAGCAATCGACACTACTTAAGCCCCTTAAGACAGAGGTCTCTCTCAAAGTTTTACAGAGTATAAAGTCTGGATTCAAGCTCAGCATTGGGAAGCAATCAGCCCTGGCTGCCCTGACGGGTGGTTTTCTTTGGGAGAGGGATGAGAGAGCACAACCTTCTTAGGTCTTCTTGATCACTCAATGGCTTTTGAAACGTCTGATCAGGGTATCCTCCTGAACTGCCTCCATGAGTTGCAGGCACTGTTCTCTCATGGTTCGAATTGTGCTTGCATGATCTGTTTCAGATAATAGCACTGGGTGATGTTTTAACTTGAAGTCCTGCACTGAGTAGGGCCTGGGACTTGATATATTTTTATTTATTTTATAGTATTTATTTTAATTTTATATTGTTATTTTTATATTGTATTTTATTGTGTTGTAAGCCGCCCCGAGGCTTCGGCAAGGGGTGGCATAGAAATGTTCTAATAATAATATTAATATTAATAATAATAATAATAATAATAATAATAATAATAATGGCCTTTTAGGGCTCTTCCACTTCCATGTTTCTATGGCTTCAGCCCCATGGCAGCCAAACTGTGGGGTGCCACAGGGCCCCATCATGTTCCCAGTGCCATCTAATATCCATACGAAGCTGTTGAGATTTAGGGTACAGTATCACCCCACTCTGTTCCTCTGTGACATTTAGATTGGGAGAGGCCAATTGCATAGCTAAATGCAGTTACAGCTTTAATGAGGGTTAATCAACTGAAGCTGAATCTGCATAAGACCATGAGACCTGGGGGTAGCCAGTGCCCAGGTCTAGGGACTGAGCTGTTTGCCTGTTCTGGATGGGGTCTGCTCCCTCCGAAGGAGCGGGTACGCAGTTTGGGGGCGCTCCTGGATCTGTCTTGGTCCCTGGAGGCCCAGGCAACCTCAGTGGCCAGGAATACCCTCTACCAATTTTGGCAGGTGCCCCTACTGCACCTGCTCCTGGACAGGGATGCTCTGGCTGCAATGGTCCCTCTTGTTCCTAGACCTGGCCGTTGACTAACGAAGGAACCCCCTCGTCCAAGATCCAGGCACCCAGGTTCACCCCGACCCCAATTGCTTTGGCGAGGACTCACGGCCTCCAGCATTATTCACCAGGCAGTCAAGGCGTCCATAAAGTTCCATGGTCACTGACACCAGAGTCTGTGGGAAAGGGCAGAACAGAAAGGGAGCTCTCAGGCAGGTGGAAGGACAAGGTTGGTCCTGGAGATTTCAGAGTTCGGTGATGCTACCAGAGCCTTCCTTAACCTGGCACCCTCCCAGTGAGCTGGCCTGCCAGGAATGAGGAACTATTCGTAATTAACAGCTACAACCACAATCACAGGATTGGCTTTCTAAAACTCAGTTGATCTATCTGGATTGAGACCCGGTGGGAAAGATAAAAGGGCTGTTGAGTCTTTGTCCCTGGCCTGGATCAGGCCCTCTGAACATGTCATTTGCCTGGGGGGGAGGGAGCGGGGGGGGGGCGGCTCTGTGTATCCCCCCCCCCCCCCGCCAGATCAGGCCCGGGACACCCACAGGTGAATTTACAAAAGTTCAAAGATGCAACACAAGTGCAACTACAACCCAATCGGGTCAAATACAATCAGGGCAAGAGCATTAAAAAGCGGTTAAGAGAAATGGTTAAGAGAGTAAGAGCAGGATCTTATGCATGTTCAGACAGAAGGAAGTCCTACAATTCCCAGCATTCCCCGGGGCAGCTGCTATGGGAGCTGCAGGGCTCATTTCTGTCTGAATAAGCCCATAATTGCATGCAGAGGCTTTCACTGGCTGCCACTCCTGATGGACGTATGATTCCTCCAGAGTTACAGGTGGTTTCTCTAGTTATACCAGTTGCTAGGGAACATGGGCAGGAGAGTGCTGCTGCACTCCTGCCCTGGTTGTGGGTTTCCTGTCGGCAGCCGCTTGGCCTACGAAACAGAACGCAAACAGAGTGCAGGATGAGACAGAGCCTGCACGGATCTTCTTATGCCTTTAGGAGTGACTTGGGCGCTTCCAGAGAATATGTGTAAGAAGCAGTGCAGAAAAGAAGTGGTCAGGCAGAAGTCTAGAGAAGTGGACTAGACCGGAAGGGCATTTCGAAACCAGTTCTCCAGAATGAGGTAAAGGGTTTTAGGAAGCGGTTTAGCAAAGCGGAAGAGCTGCCCGGCAACAGAATCTTCTCCCCCAAAGCAGCATCCTCTCCCCACAGCCACAGTTCCAGCCTACCTTAATGTCTGTTTCAGAGCAGACATCACAGACCACAAAACGGGCTTCCCCGGGACCCCGACAATCCTCCAGCTCCTGCTGAAGCGCTTTCCCCCGTTCCCCTGCATGAGGACACGAAGGGGAAGTTCCAACGTTAACATGGAGTTCTGGCTTGGAGTGGGAGGAAGACGCAAGGCAAGGATGACGAGGCACTTGGAGCAGGGGGGTGCAGAGGACAGTCCTCTGTCTGGACAGCGAATGGAGGGCCCTTCCTTCCCCCATCAGAAGGTGCCCTCCATTTGCGGGGCTGTCCAGCGCAAGCCCAATTTAAAGATCAAGAACGGCACAAAGGCCTAGCTGCAGAGGCCTCGGAGCAGCCCTTCCCAGGTTAGCACCTGGACACCCCCCTGCAGGTTTCGCCACACAAGGCACTGAACTTTGTGGTAGTTACAGGCCCGCACGTCTGGAGGACACCTCGCTGGGGTAACAACAGGCAGTCATGACAAAAATGTTCAGGAACGGGCAAATGGGATCCGCAACAAAATGTCGCAGCGTGGGGCACTGCGGCTCCAGATTCCAGTCCTTTAATGCCATTCTTGCTCCTCCATGGGTTTTCCATCCCCCCCCCCGACAGCCGGTTAGCATTCTGCAGCCCCTGAGCATGCACAGTGTTTGGTGCTGTCCCCTTTCAGGAGGCTGTTGTGGTTTTTCACTTGTGCAAACACTGGAGCGGCAGTGCAGGCTCTTGTGTGCAGATGCTACAATTCTGGCTGCATGACAACTGACACTTATTCGTATGGATCTGCTCTCCCCAACTTGGCATCCAACGGCTGGGCTGAACCACAGCTCCCACCGTCCCCGTGGCCAGGCTGGCCTGGGATTCTGGGGTTGCAGCCCTAGCCCTCTGCATGGTCAGGTCAGGGAAGGCTGGTGCTTAGACGAGGATGAGGGGCTGTGGACACAAAGAAGGAAACACATACAGGCTCTACCCTCCTACAAGCAGGGTGGAGAGGGCGGATGGGGGCCTCTGAGCAGCAGAAACTCAGTGTTGTGGCCAAATGGGGCGAACTGGGGGAACTCCCACACTGTTCATCATAAGCAGGGACTTATCCCAGGGATGGGGAACATGTAGTCCTCCAAAAGAAGATGCTGGTCTCAGGTGATCCTTCACCATTGGCTATGCTGGCTAAGGCAGATGGGAGTTGTAGTGAAACTTCATCTGCAGGGTTCTCCTTCCAAAATCAAGTATGTTCACCCCAAGGGGAAAAGAAAAGTCTTTCAAAAGAGGTCAGTACAGTGGACAAAGCATGGCCTTGATGTTGCTTTTCAAGGCTTGAAATAAGTTTACGGTCTTTTGTGCAGGTAAAGCAGCTATACAAAAGATGGAAATTCAACAGGGGCAGCTTCCCCCTCACTGCATCACTGTTGAGCTACCGGGGTTAAATGCCTGTCTTTATCAGGGCCCCCAAAATCATACATCCATACTTTTCTCCCTCTACGGTAACTCTCTATTGGACTATACCACCCACCCAAGCAGCATGCAATAGGGATGATGAGAGTTGTAGTCTTACCTGTCTAGAGGGCACCAGGTAGGGGAGAGCTGATGCACAGATTGCTTTCTCACTTTCTTGGGGTTCTTGCTGCCCCCTGCTGACTAAGCCATCCACTTAGACATATTGGAGGGGACACTGAGCGGCCCTCAGACAGGGACACAGGATGGAGAGACAACTTCTAGAACTCACCTTCAGATGCTGGGGCACAGAAGACCACTCTGGCTCCTTGGAGAACTAGGAGGAAAAATATGGGGTAGGAGGGGAAGGAGCGTGAGAGGCCTGGCTCACCTTTGCATGGCGTAACCTCTTCAGGAACACACCTCATGCCAAGCCACCCATCTGTTCTATGTTCTGGAACATATACTAGAACTTGCAGCTCCCCTGAGGATGTTGGACTCCAGTTCCCATCAGCCCAAGCAAATAGAAAAGGGTGAGAGGAGCTGACATCCAGCAACTTCCTGGAGATGATAACCCAGTTCCACAGAAACACGGGAAGCTGCCCTGACCTAAGCCAGACTATCACCAGATCTAGGTCAGTATTAACTACACTGGGGAAGGTGAAAAGGTAGATTGGGATCCACAGACAATCTCTTGGTTGATCAACAAGGTTTTCTGGTTCGTCCTGCTTAGCAGCAGCAGCAGCAGCAGCAGCCACAACAAAACAACTCCCCCCTTGCCTCCACCTCCATCCTAAATTATACTGCAGAAATTAAGAACGCTTGGGGCAATGGGAAATGGATTTTGGTGTGGAAGGACCATGAGCTCCATTCAGTTCTGGTACTCAAACCAAATTCCTGGGTTTCTGTTGGTGGATCTGGGGTCTGACTAAAAAGCACAGTAGATTCCCTAGGGTTGAAGTCCATCCACTCTGCCCTGACGGGGGTTCAGACAAATGTTTTCCAGCTCTACCTGGACATACCTGGGACTTTTTAAGTGAAAAGCATTCATGGGCAGTCTTCAAGCTCGTGTTTTCTGCCTTGGGCATAGTTCTATGCAATTTGAGCCAGAAAAAGAGTCCTAAACTCCCAGTGGGCCTCAGCCTGGGGTTGTGGGAGGATAAGAGGTACTGATTGCATTCAGGCAGGGTTGTAGGGCTTTTTGCTTTCCAGACAAAGGGCAGGTTATTCCAAGTGAGAGAGGAAAGAAACTCCTACGTTGCATTCACACATGCAGGGTGTTCTGTGCTGCTGTGGTCACGTTGGAGCCAGCTCAGAGAATATTTAAGGAATATCACAAATGGTGACCGCAATCCACACCAAAATTAAGCAATTTTGGAAAGGCTTTGAAAAGCCTGTGCTTGCATTTACAATTGATATTTGTAAATTTGGGAGTATTTCCACCACACCCAAACTGGCTGGCAGGGCTGGCAGAAGGTGTTCTGATACAAACTTCTGTACGCTGCTACTGGGTAAACACCCCAACTGGAGGTCCAGTTCTAGGCATTTATTAACTTTGTTTCACTTTCTCCTCTTTTGTGAACTCTCTTGCATATGTTTGGGGAGGCAAATAATTAACTTCTAAGGCAGGATAAAAGGGTCTAAAATAGAAAATTAGTACAAATAACCCTCCCACCTGTCTAACCAGTATGGTTTAACTCCGGGTCAGACCAGTTCAACTGGAAAGAACTGCCAGCACCACTGCAGAAGGAAATTAACATTCCCACTCCGCCCTCATCCTTCATCGCATAACAAAAAGGGCTGGGAAATTCCCAAGCATGTCAGCTTGGGAGAGAAATTCCCCATCACTCCCTGACTAAAAGTCCAAGGCTTTTCAGTGTGGGACAACACTTTTTGGATTCACACACACAAACACACAAACACACACACACACACAGCGCTAGGAAGGGCACCACCAATACCCTCTAAAGAAAGGTTCAGCAAAAGTTCACATTCCAACTTGCAGGAACTTGCATTACATCACCCACCAACCAGGTACTGGCACCCGTTTCTTAATTTTTGAAAAATGGGCCGTGGGGATGATGGGAATCCAGCGGCAACCTGGCATGAGTGGATGCCAAGGGAGGGCAGGACTCTGGTAGAGTTGCACAGAATATGACATTTCTGATACAGCAACATTCAGAGGAATAAGCTGTGTACACCGCCTCACTTTTTGTGGCCCTTCAGCCACACAGGAGTCATCTCTATCCCAAGTTGGCAACTCTATACTCTCCAGATATTCAGAACTACAAATCCTATCAGTCCCAGCCAGCAGAGCCATTGGCCAGGTTTATGAAGGCTGCACTACTAAACATCCGGAAGTTACCAGGTGGCTCAGTCTTCCTCTGGATTTGTGTCTCTTTCTCCCTGTTTGTGTTCTGTGTGAATGTGGGTAGTGTTGTCAAGTGGTTAGAGAGCCAGCATGATGTTAAGGTGCCAGACTGAGGAGACCTGGGTTCAAGTCCCCACTTGGCCTTATAGCTTACAGGGGGTATTTGGTTCAATTCCTGACTCTCAGCCCAGACTATTTCACAGGGTGGTTGTTGTAAGGATAAAAGAGTGCAGAGGAAGCTCATGTAAGCTATGGTGAGCTCCCTAAAGGACATGGTAGGATATTACTATAAAATAAAATCTGTATTTAAAAAATCTATAGTGTGTGTGTGTGTGTGTGTGTGTGTGTGGGAGGGACATGATGGGAGCCGCCCCGAGGCTTCGGCGAATGGGGCAGCATAAAAATGTTTTAATAAATAAATAAATAAATAAATATTTTCCAAATATATTGTCCTGCCTCCTCCTCATGGCAACTCTCCAGCTCCCTGGAAAAACTACACAGACAGTAGGAAGGTGCTCCTTAATGGGGTGTTCTGTGGTGAGGGGAAGTGGGGTTCTCAAAAGTCAAAGAGATTTCCCATGGATGGATCACTTCTTCTTGCAGAATTCTTATGGATCCAATCATCTTCTAAGGATTAGAATTATTAAGTATTAGAATTCAACAGGAAGAGCTATGGGGATGCAATGAAGAGGAAACTGCACCAGTTGGAGGCCTGTCTGCCTGTCAGAAAAAACCTGTCACAAGCCAAACATCTTGCACTGCATGTCCTTTTTACCTCAATCTGGGGAAAGAAGCAGGCTTAGGCCAGGACATTCCTGACTTTCCGAAAGAAATTACAATTTTGCTCATCCCAGGCCCTACATGGTAAGAGAGTTCCATTGTCACTTTGGTTCTGGCTGATTTGTGCAAGGCCTTAGATCTGGCTGGATGGGGGATGCTGGGAGTTGCAATCCAAACCATCTGGCAGCCACCAGATTAGGAAAAAGTGGCTTGGAGTAATGTCCCCATTTTAACATGCAGACCTGACAAAACGCTTTGTCTTAAACAAGGATATTTGCAGGCAGAAATCTAACTGATAAAGTCTCTCTCTCTCTCTCACGCGCGCGCGCGCACACACACACACACACACACACACACAGAAACCCAGCCACAAATGAGTGGCAAGCTTTCCCTTTAAATACGTGCAAGTGGATTGGGTCAGCTCAATAGCAGAGAATGTGTGGCCAGCAGCTTCTCATGTCTGCAACAGCTTCATAACCCCACCAAGTCTCTCTCCTTGCTCTCAGTTCACCACCCCCAGGGCTCACAGGCCCACAGTTCCTCATTTCTGTTTATAGCAGGAGGACTTAACTATGAGGACACAGAGATAAAATAAAATAAAACCAAGAAGTGGAGCAGACCTAGTCATGCTAGTTCCTTGCAGCTGAAAGTCCTGCACGCATCAGCCAAAAGGAGCTTTCTGCAACGTGGCATCCCTGAAACAGAGCAGGACTACAGCAGCCATCATTCCCCAACCTGTGTGGAACATGTGGGCTGAGGATGATGGGGTTGTAGTCCAGTGCATCTCCGAGAGGACAGGTTGGGGAAGGCTGTCTTATGGATTCAGGGTGGCAGCTTTTTGGAGGCATGGTGCACCTGCTCACATGGCCTCTGGCTCTATGGCTGGAGGTGCAGGAGACATTAACTGCCTTCCGTGCAGAAGTTCCCACATTCAATCCCTGCCATTTCCAGGTAGGTCTCGAAAAATCCTGCCTGAAACCTTGGTGAGCCAATGAGCCAAGAATGCGGCAGTCCATAAAGGCTTGGGCTGCGGTAAATACAGTATGTTGAGCCTTCAGGTGTCACAAGCCTCTGTTATTTTTGCAACAATACCAATGGGCCAACTTTTAACTCCAGACCAGGCAGTTTCTTATGACAATAAACCCGTTCATGCATATCATGAGCATGTCAAGACTTTCCACCACCGACTTCATCCAGCTTCTTCCCGTTTACGCCCAGAGAACGCTTCCAAGCCAGGCTTTGTGTTTTCCTGGGCTGTGCTTCAACACCAACACTTATTTGTAGGAACTTCCGCATGCACCCCCCCCCACACACACACACACAAAAGCTTGAGCTCCGGCACCTATTTCTAGAATCTGCCCACCCGCCTCACCAAATTCTCTCACGATGCCTTCACCAATGCCGCGGGTGCCCCCGGTTACTATGACGACCTTGTCCGCGTACCGCAGCCCAGTCGCCATCCCAGCGGTTGTCGCAGCTCCCCCAAATCAGCGACATGCAGCTGATCTTTGGACGCGGAGCGGCTGCAAGCGGCAGTTTCGCCAGACGCCCAGGGCAGGGCGACTCTCTCGCGGCATGCCGGGAGTTGCAGTTCTGGTGCTCTGCGGCCCGTCGGAAGCAGCGCGTCTTCGTCCACCAAGGGGCGGTCCGACCCTGTGCATGTTTACATAAAAGAAGGCCCTACTGGGTTTAGAAAGGAGTCGGGGTCAGTGCCGGTGCAAAGGCGTGATTGCAATTTCATGCTGAGTACGCCGACAAAAGCAAAGGTGCAGTTTCAAGGCTCAGAATTATTTCTTTCGAAGTGCATGACTTGTGCGCCGGTCTCCGGTGAGCGGACCGTAAGGTTCAAGGAAAAGCGACGATCCTAGTCATATCAAGACAGAAAAAGCCCTACAGATGCAGCCAGCCCCTGATCACCTTAAGCGTAAGATTGCCTCTGAGTTACGTATGCACAAATTGCACGTCTGTCGCTTGCTGAGTAGCCATAGCTTTCATTTTGGTGCATTTTAGGAAGGCGAATAATGGCTTCTTTAGTATGGGACTGAAAGATGAAAAAGAGCAGGGCCCGAAAGTGTTCATGAGCTGCGCGTGCCCCTTGGCCATCACCATTTCCATTGTATGGCTGACTGGAGCGTACTGGGAGCTGTGGGACTTTTTTGCCTGAACATGCATAGGGTTGTTCCCGTATGTCTTATATGATGGCAACGAGGGTGGATTTTTAACATGTTTCATATGGGATGCTTACATCACATGGTTATTCTTGACCTCTGCTGTCCTAATTGGAATCTGCTCCCCAAGAATGCCTGGTGCTGACTCTTTTATTGTATTTATTTATTTTGATGCCAGGGTAAAGCTTTTCAATTTTCCCAGTATTTCAGCGTTTGAATGACTATACTATATATATTTGTATATTGTACACTGTGCTTTTATTGAAGTGCTGTTGTGTTGTTATTATTGTTTTTGTAAATGCCCGGGATTTCATTGAATTAGACGGCATGATGAAAATGTTGTAAATAAATCAATTAGTCTGAATTGGCTGATCATCACACGTGATTTTGTATAGTTCTTTTCATTCTTTCCAGGGAATATTGTTATTGGATGACATATGAGCATTGTCAAAGAGTGAAAGAAACAGTCTATGCCGAGTTAGCTATAGAACCTGCAGGGAGGGAAGCTGCATGGGCAAGTTCATGTGAGAGTCCTGAACATTTTTGGTGCATATTAGACCAGCCCTGCCTAAACAGATACCCTCCAGAGGTTTCAGACTGCAGCTCCCAGCATTCAGGATCAATGACCATGCTGGCAGGGACTGATGAGAATTGAAGTCCAAATCCGGTGGAGAGCACCCAGTTGAGGAAGGCTGGATTAGGTGGTGCAGGGACTTAGAGCAGGCTTCCCCAGCCTGTTGCCTTCTGGGGACTTCAACTCCCATCATCCCCACCCAGCATGGCCAAGGGTCTGGAATCCTGGAAGTTATGGTCCAAAGTGTCCAGAGGGCCCCAGGCTGAGAAAGACTGCATAAGAGTGTTGGTTGGGACTGAGGAAAAGCCAGGCTCAAATCTCCACTCGGGCCTAAGGCTGCCTTGGTCACCACTCTCTGGCTGTCCAGCCTCCCTGGGCTGTTCTAAGCATAAAGACCAGGGGGATGAAACTTGGTTGCTTAGAGGAAGGACGGGGTTATGCATAGAACAATCCAGGTTAGGCAAGGCTGCCCTGGGATGCCCTCCTCTACCCCCTGCACAGGCATTAAAACATTTGAAGATGTTCAGATAAACACCGCCAGACTCAAAAAATGCATAAAGTTAGGATTTTATTGGGTATATGAATCAGAACTGTCCGCATGCCCTCGGGGAGCCGGTTGTAGCCACTGTTAAAACGCAAGGGGAGCTTGCCGCAGCCGCCACCTCCTTAGGTGGGAACGACTCTTCACACAATTCTCAGCGTCACCTTGGCAGGGCAGGCACCTGTTACAACAAACTTCCCTCGTCTGCTCTGCATTGTGCTGGAGTCTTTGCACTGATTTTGGTTTTTTCCTTTTTTTGGTCTGGGATGTTTCTTTGCATTCACAGCCCTGATCTGGGGGCACTCTTTGGTGAATAAATAAATAAATCCATCCATCCATCCACCTTAGGCCTGGCACTGCGAGCAGACAGGAAGTGGCGATTCTCTCAGGTGACCCATGCTGGAAGGTGGCAGCAAAGCATTGAAGGAAAACTGTGTGCCAAGCAGCCTGCCAAAAGAGGACTTCAGGTGCAACGGGGGATTTTGTCCCATGGCCAGCTTGGGGGAAAGACTCAGCTGCCAGTTTGGTCCCCTTCTACTCCTGGCAGGAGAGGAGGCGACACTGTATTCTTTGCCTCAGCCAGCGAAAGTTCCTGAGCCAGCCCTGTCAACCAGAAGGTGCCAATGAAAGCGGAAGCCTCTTTGCACACCTGTAATTCAGCCACTGAAGGAGGCAGAGAATTTCTGCCACGGCCTCTGCAGTCCCTTGCAGTCCCCTCTTCCCACCACTTCAGCTTCTCCAGCCACATGCTGCTCTCCTCCAATCTCTCCCATCCCATCCCATCCCCATATCCCCATCCCCCCAGTCACCTCCTCCAATTCACCCTCCCACCACCTACTTCACTGCCCTCTCTTAGCTGCAGCTCTTTGTTGTAAGGACACAGCTGCACCAGGCAATTTGGTGCAAACTATGCCAGGACCTGCCCACAGATCATCTGCTCTGTCCTGTCCCATCCAGTGAGACTGTTCCCGCTGTTTAGATAACAATTGGTGCCTCTTTTTATCAGGCACTCCTTCACACAATATTGGTTGTGGTTGCTAGATAGCCCATCTTCTCTCACAGCACAGTTGCTGGCCAAGCCATTCCTTCTTCATGATCAAAGCTCCTTTTCCCTCCTTCCTCTGTCCCTCTGATGATGTACACAACCCCTGTTTGTGCATACAGCCCCTGCTACCGGTCCTAATAACAGACACTTTTGTTTGGGGTTTTCTTCTTTCTTGACATCATGCAATTCCAGCAAATGTGTCAGTGTGAGGGGAAACTTGCAACTACCTGTGAACATGCTTAGCACATCTGAAATTATTTTAAAACAGTTATCTGGCTCAGTAAGCAGCCCAAAGCCCTGAAAATGCTCTGATGAGACAGCCAAAGCAAAGCAAGCCTTGAAAACCTGCTCCAAACGGGTGCCAAAAGAGACATCACCTTCCAAAGACTGAAAATTCCTTTCCTGGACCTATCTGCCTTTGCATTCAGCTCCAGGAGAAGCTGTCATGTCTTTCCAGATTATCTGTACAACCACTACCAGCAAATCAGGGTGGGCCCCA